GGTCTAACATACACATACACACACACACACACACACACACATACAGTTGGTATAGGAAAGGGTTAAAGTTTGACTCAGTACAGAAAGAGACATAAGGAATGAAATTTATGGAACCATTTGCATATTCAACAGATCTACACCTGAGGGATACGTCAGATTCTTAGTTCAAACACACCTTTGTAAAAAGGTGTAACTGATACTTAATGTATCAATTAATAAGACTAAGTTTGATACTTGCGAGTCTCGGCTGTCTGAAAGAGATTCCTGATGCAATCTTAAGGCATTATCTTATCTGGTTGCATCATCTCTTCTCAGGTGTTCTGGATCCAGACTGAAGCTTGTGTAAATCCTAGTTACATCCCGTGGCAAAAGACAGAGAAACAAATACAAACATAATTAGTGTAGCTGCTGTTCCAACCAAGCAAAAATGATTTGTTTAACCCAAACTAACGAATAATAATGTGCATTTGATTAGATATAACTGCAGTAAAAGATTATGACTGCAGTAAAAGATTATGAGATGCATTATTTGAATGCTTGGCCAAAGAGATGTGTCTTTAATCTAGATTTAAACAGAGAGAGTGTGTCTGAACCCCGAACGGTATCAGGAAGGCTATTCCAGAGTTTGGGAGCCAAATGCGAAAAAGCTCTACCTCCTTTAGTGGACTTTGATATCCTAGGTACTACCAAAAGTCCAGAGTTTTGCGACCTTAGGGAGCGTGATGGATTGTAGCGTGGTAGAAGACTAGTTAGGTAGAAAACCATTGGCGAGCAGGTGATATAATGCTAAATTTCTCCAAATCTGTTGCGATGAAGAAGCAAACTTATCTACATCTTGGATGGCCTGAGGTGAGTGAATTTTAAATTTTGGGTGAGCTGTTCCTTTAATAAAATTTAGTCAGAAGGAAGCTTGTACTCCATTATTAGTGAATGACACCCACTAATGTCACATCTACCTACCTTTCTTCCTTGCTCTAACCCAAACTTGCACTTTCTCCATTTCTTTGTCCGTCCTATTTGTGCCCATCTCCCCACTGTGTGCTCTGTATGTGTTTGTCATCCGTACGTGTCCTTGCGTCGGCGCTTGTGCTGTAGGACAAAGCCTTGTTGGAGGCTGAGAGAGTTAAAGTAGAGAGGCTAGCTGAGCTGATCTCAGAGCAGTAGACCCAGTTGGACACCTGTCCTGAAGCACTGAAGGAGCAGCTCAAGAATCAGCTATCCAGGGTCAGTCAGTTACCGTGGTCTCCCTTGTCCCTGCGCCCACCAACTATTCTGCTGTCTGACTCTCACAAACACTTGCTGTTGTGTTTTTTCCTCTCTGCAACAGCTTTGGAAATACCATTTGTTCTTGTTGGTAGGCCTTTCTTCTCTGTGTCTTTTAACATACCATACAGTTTCCTGTGAATTTGACCTTTTCTCTCTCTTCTGTTTAGCACAATCCTGTGAATTAGTGCTGATTGTTCAGTTTAGTTTAGTTCGGAGTTGCACCATGATTTAAAAAATGTAATCTATTGCCTCATGCTAATTGTTTTTAGCTTTTTTTGGTAGGACACTGAAGCTTTGGAAGCAGAAACGAAGCGTTTTGAAGATTTGGAGTTTCAGCAGCTGGAAAAAGAGAGCCGTCAAGATGAAGAGAAGGAGACACAGACGCAGCATCTCCTCAGAGAGATTGCAGAATATCAGAGATCTGTCGTCACTCGCAAGGTGGAGTGTTTGTGTGTGGAAAAAGAGCTTTTTATAAGAATATTTCCTTCTGCACATAAAAACTGTCTCCATATTATAGGAGAGGCTACTTACCTTGAAGAAGCAGTCAACCCAGATTACCAAGCAAGGACAACGGGAAAAGGAGAACTTATTGAAGGAGAAGAGCAACCTCATTTATATGCTACGAAGGGTGAGTATATTTACACAGAATGTGTTTATATAAGTATAATATATACATACAATGACTGTGAGAAGTATTTGGACCCTTTATCCATACTGAACTTTTTTTTGGTGAACGACCTTTTTTTTTTTTAATTTTAAAAATGTACACATCAATTTTGACACGATATTCATACATAATGCAGATAGATTTGTTCATTTCTGAATGGTCTCTTTCAATAATTTCGTTTCAGGAACGGGAGAACCTTGCATCTCTGGAAAGGAAGTACTCTGAGCTCACAGGTGGTCAAGCATTTCCTCTCAACCCTATGTCCATGAAGGAGGTAACACAAACCATTTCCAAGTAAAGAAGAAACTATGCTCGGTAATGGCAAACAAGGATTTTCCATATTGAAAGATGATGATTTTATCTGCCTTTTTGAATGTTCCAGCACTTTCGCTCTCTTGAGGAGAGGAGGCGGAGCAATGGCAGTAAAGAAGGTGGGGTTCTGTTGAGTGACAGCGGGATGTCCCGTAAAAGAGAGAGGCAGAGCCTCGGGACCTTCAACTCTGCCCTTAATCGCAGTCTGTCTCCCAAGGTCAGACAACAGAAACGGCACATAGGAAAAGTATTTAATATCATCTTTAAAAAATCAATTTACGTTTAAAATTTCATTGTGCGTCGTTTTGTTATGTGAAAGAGAGGTTTAAACAGTCTTTTTTACTCTATATTCTTAATCCTGTAGCCTCATATGCCACTGTCTCAAAGCTCTAGCTGTGGTAGTGTACTCCCCCACACTCTGTCTGTCACCTCCCGTGACCTGGACACCCGCCGCCTGCTCAAGGGTAACACTGATTTATCATATGACACTGACAGTTCTGCAGGTCTACAATTCTACAAGTTTTAAGCATATAAATAATCATATTTCTGAAATCAATTAAGTATATTTATTTGTATTAGTTTAATTTTTGCACATAAATAATAATATATAAATAATATATTTTTATGTTACTTTCTTCACTACACTTGTGTAGCATGTATAACTGTCTGCCTGAATTTTTTTTTGTATTATTGTATGTATACAAAAATATCTGAAATATATTGAAAGAATATAACTTATACCGGTGCATTGTATTGATGGAGCCAGTTCTTTTTGACATTTCTAAGTGATTTCAAATATGTGAAAAAAACTATTCCAGGGATCAGAAAATCGACTTGAAGATAGTCTGTTTGGTCTTTGCCTAGTAAAAAAAACACCTAAGCAACCACATATAAACTATATATACCAGTCAAAGATTTTTCAAAGTCTCTTTTGTTCCCCAAGGCTGTATTTATTTGATCAAATATGCAGTAAAAGCAGAAATATTGTGAAATTTAAAATAACGGTTTTCTGTTTGAATATATTTTAAAGTGCAATTTATTCCTGTGAGGCCAAAGCTGAGTTTTTAGCAGCTATTTCTGCAGTATTCAGAAAGTACACGATCCTTCAGAAATTATTCTGAATGTGTGGAATTCTATAGAAATTAGTGCTGTCAATTAATCGCATCCAAAATAAAAGTTTTTGTGTATACTGTGTATATTTATTAAATGTATATAAATACAAATAACATGCATGCATATATTTAAGAAAAATATGTTCTGTTTATATATTAAATATATTTATATATAAGAATATAATGTATATACATGTAAATATTTTCTAAATATATACATGCATGTGTTTGTATTCATATATACATAATAAATATACACCGTACGCGCACATATATAAACAAAAACTTTTATTTTGGATGTGCGATTAATCGTTTGACAGCACTAATAGAAATACTTTTATTTTCACTTTTTTCCCCCCCTTTGATCTTGCAGCAGGTCAGCTGTTTTTGAATGACGAGAGGCATAGAATGAGTGAGATGTCAAATAGGACAGTTTCTGAGACAAACGTCTTCCTGGAGCCGTTCCACTACATGGATAACGGACACAACTTTGACACAATGAGCGTGTACAGTACAGAAAGCCTGGAGACCAGCATTTCCGCCTGTTCACCGGACAACATCTCAAGGTGAGACCAGGATCACGATAGGTCTATTCTGACAATCCAAAGCTTTTATTTAGCATTTAGTATTTAAGTATTTAGCTTGTCCATGTTACATATATTTGCTTGAAACCTAAGATATGCTTTTTTGTAGAATAAGAAAATAATTTAAAGCCCACTTTAAAGGCAGCTTTATAAACAAACTTTAGTATGATATTGCCATTAAAATTGTGAGTAAGAAGTGTGTGTATCTGTGTATTGTGGGCTTTGCAAAAGTTTAAATGTATTTGTTACTGTTTATAAGGATGCTGTATAGACAGGAGTCTGCCTTTAAGTAGCCCCGACACATCCTGTCTGTGGAATTTGTATTGCATTCCAAGGTCAAGATTAAGGCTTAAGATGCTTTGGAACACATTGCCAAATGAGGTTGAGGGTTTTAATCCGCTGATTTTATTGACAATACATTATTTTTATATGAAATTTACTACTAAAATATATTTAAGATCTGAAAATCAGTGTAAAACAAAAGTGTCTCATAAAAGTGTGTGTGCTCTGTACAGTGCCAGCACAGCTAACATGGTGAAGATAGAGGAGATGGAGCGCCTGCTAAGAGAAGCTCAAGCTGAGAAGAACAGACTGCTGGAGCACAGGGTACATCAGTTTCTCTGAATCTACATGATTATTACAAAAATACCAATATACAGATGCATGAAAACAGGACTGTTCTTTTTTCTCTGCAGGAGCGGGAGATGGAGTTACGGCGACAGGCTCTTGAAGACGAGAGGAGAAGGAGGGAGGAATTGGAGAGGAGACTGCAGGAAGAGACAAACCGACGACAGAAACTAGTAGAGAAAGAGGTGAAGCTCTGGGAGACTTAGAGAGTTCAAGTGAAAGAGGGAGAACAGATACATAGAGACAAGAAGTGGAGGAAGATTAATCTTAACGCATTTAATGCAATTAAAACTCTAATTATGGATACTCAGATTTAGACAAAAGAAATCTATTTTAAGGCAGCCACAATGAATAAACAATAATAAATGCAAATAAATATTTTAATATAACAATTTTCAATTCTAATATTTGTACTTCTAAACTTCAAAACCTACTTTATTTAGGCTCACAAGTATGTTTGTCTTTTTTAACATAATCTTGCTTTCTTGCTTTTTTCTTCTCAAAAAAAATAAAATAATTTTTTTAAAGGCAACTTTTTTTTTTTTTTTTTTTCAAAAAAAATAAAAAAATTTTTTTAAAGGCAACTAGGTTTTTTTTTTTTTTTTTTTTTTTTTGTATCAGCTTGTTTTTTTTTCTATGACATGAGACATAGCCAGAATCCAAAATTAACTTTTTGCCATGTCATCATTGTCAGATGATTGTTAGGATTTTTTTAAAGACATCATAGCTGTTAAGATATTTTTTGTCATTCATATTTATAGATTATATTTTGAGCAGAAAAAGTTGAAGATCCTATAAAACGCAATAACTTATTTAATAGTAGTAGTAATAATAATAAGAGATAAAATGAACAAAAGCAGTATAACGGAATCTAAAAGAGAAAAAAAAAACATAACGTTAATCACACATTAGAAGCTTGTAGCCGATAGTTTTAATTTGATCAGTAATTAGCCTATAAATATGGGTGGCTGATAAATCAGTGCATCTCTGATCTAATCTGTAACATTCTAACAAAATGTAGCTAGTTAATAAGCAGATTCCTTCTCTCACTCTTTACAAACATGTATGCATGTATTTACACAGACACCCTTACTAATTTTTAAGGACTAATTAGATATTTGCTGTTTGTGTGTCTAGTCTCGTCCGTTGACACGATACCTCCCAGTGAGAAAGGATGACTTTGACCTGAGAGGTCACATCGAGGCGGCGGGTCACCATCCTGAAACTTGTTTTCACCTGGCCATCACTGAGAAGACCTGCAGGGGGTTCTTGGTCAAAATGGGTGGGAAAATCAAAACCTGGAAGAAGCGCTGGTTCGTCTTTGACCGCAGTCGAAGGACGCTGGCATATTATGCTGGTAATTACACTGAATTTTTAGTAGGACTTATCAAGCTTTATCAACCAGGCCTGCTGTGAATTACCACGGAATATCAAATGTGATTGTCACTCATTTTATATTAACAGTTTGAAAACGTGCTTACTGTAATGCATTTCTAATAAAGACTAATCAGGCGAAAGTTATGGAGGTTAAAAAAAACCTGAAATTTGAAGCATGTATTTTTGGTAGTGCACTTGCCTTAACTCTTCATGCAAAAAGAATGATTTTTATACTGTCAAACATTTGTAATATAAAACACTTTACAAACTACTGAATATCAGCCGTTTTGGTAACAATTAATTTTTTTACAGTGCCCGTTATAAATGTACTTACTATAGTAATGTCAGTAAATGATGCTTAATTACAATAAATTAAATCTAAACCTAACCCTGTTCTAATTACATGTTAATTAATATTACTCAGAAGTTATTTGTATAATTACACTAACAATTATACTAAAAACACCTTAAAATAAAGTATAATAAAATAAATATAAATAAATACAATTTATTTGTTTAACAGATTTGTTTTAATTAATTAATCAATTATTTATTTTGCATAACATCTGAATGAAATTTGGACAGTGAAATGTAAACTTGAATTATTAACTAAAGAAGACTGTTATTAAGCAAAATAAATTTGCCATGAAACTAGTTTATACCACAAGGGGGCAAAACTGAGCTGTGCCCTTCACCAGCCTCACAGGAGACAATGGCTAAGTCCATTTATCATACAAAGATTTGATCTTTTCTGTTAAATTGAATTATTATAATGTATTAATAATACAGGTTAATAAAGGTTAAACCACATGCTCTTTTTATTTATTTTTTTAACATGACTGGTTTTATTTTTCTCCAGATAAACATGAGACTAAAATGAAGGGTGTTATCTATTTCCAAGCCATTGAAGAAGTGTATTACGACCACCTAAAGAACGCACACAAGGTAAGTTGCAGCTGGAGGCCTTTTGGTCACCTACTATACATAGCTATACTGATTTTATGAAAAGGGTTCAAAATGTTACAATTGATCAGCATTTTGTTTCTTTGTTGCGTCAGAGCCCAAACCCTTCCCTGACGTTTAGCGTGAAGACACATGAACGGGTTTATTACATGGTGGCTCCTTCCCCAGAGGCCATGAGAATCTGGATGGATGTTATCATCACTGGAGCGGAGGGATATACGCATTTCCTGGTGTGAGCAGGATTCATCTTTGTTTAACGACATTTAACAAGTCCAAAGTGACCTTCACACTTCAGCTCGGCCTGATAATGGGCTCATTTTCCACGTCCACTGTTCTGAAGAGGTTACACTTTTATGATTCTCTTTTATCAGTACTGATTGGGACGAGAGCGTTGACTGTATATTTTGCAGTTTGGAATACCTAGTTTGGAAAAACTGGTGCTTTACCCACTGCATCCTGTCGTGAGATTACAGAGGCAGCTTTCAGACTTCAAAGGTACCAACTCTTGAATTTTTCGCCCTGTTTTGTTCACTTCCGGGGTGAGACTTAGAACAGCTGTAAATAAGAAATCAGTCACTGGTCTTCACATTTCACAAACGTGCCAACTCTTAATGAAGCTGAATATACCTCAAAGATGAACTGTTGTGGTTGTTAAAACGAAACACCAAAAACAAAGTGTTCCTTTGTTTTTGGTGTTTCGACTTAGTACAGACTCTAACAAACATCAGGGTATTGTTCAGTACTGTTTTTATATTCAACAGTACTAAACATGAATTTATAAATGTATTTTCACTTAATGTTTTTGTTGTTGTTGTTAATTGACCTTTGTATCTCTGTACAATTTATATTATTCCCTCATTTACCAAGTGCCTTACATTTGTCAATATCTGATGAGAATAGCTATATATTTAGCTATAAGACTTGTAGAATGACACAAACAGACTGTGGTTATTTTAAGCATTATTTTGTATCGACCAATTGTGCCACCCTGATGCTCAGGAACATTCCAGAAGGAAGAATTTCGCACCAAAGACGAGCTGAATTTGTGTTTCAGCATGACATGAATGTAAAAACTGACACCTAAGATGCTATCTTTAATAGATGAGGCTCTTAATAATTTAGCACAAATGTGTATTTTCATAATGTTTTTGATTAGAATCATTGAGTTCTCGATTGTTTGTTGTACTGCAATTGACCAGCAGAGGGTTTTACTTTCAATGATATTGAAATGATTACAGGATTTATTCACTGCAAGAATCTCATTTGACCCTTAAGTTGAAATATAAGATGTTAAAAGTTTTGTTTTGTTACCACTGAACAAATCTATATGCATGTCTGAACTTATTGTGTATCTGATATGTTTTTTTATGTAGGAATCACTATAATTTAATTTAGAGTAATTTAGAGTAATAGTAAATTAGAAATTATATGAATTATATGTCAAGAAGAAACGCCGTTGTTTTATTAGGAAAAAATTAATGCACAGGTGCTATCTGCCAGCAAAACGTCTAGTTCAGTGGTTCTCAAGTGGTTTTGCTTCAGGAACCAGATTTTCAGATCTTTGACGTCAATAAGAAATGATACGGGAAGTCTCTTTCCTCCTCTTTTTTTAATTTTATTTTTACGCCTATTTGTTTTCCTATCCAAATGATGTGCAGTTTTAATGCATTTTATTTGCATTGTTTTTTTCCATGCTGTTATACCAAATTGTGTTGCATCATTCGTGCAGTCATGTCTGTCATTCAGTCTCATTTAAATCACAGGGCATCTTTTCTGGCAAATACTTCCAACAATTTAGGCTGTGAAATGAATTAATTTTAGTTTGCCAGGCAGTAGATCAATGCTGATGTGCACTTTGAGACTAAACAGTTTTTTTAGAGATGCTTTCTCAGCTTTCATTCAGTAAACAATACAGTACATTACAGGATAAGCACAACAAAGCGTTATATAGATCACAATAAAATAAGTACTTATATAAAATGTATCTTTTCTATTCAGCGTTTATCAGTATTTTTTAAACCATTCGTAGTTTGAGACGAAAGCGATATTTTTATTTTAAGCATGTTTTCTAGCTCATTTAAAATGTGAACCATAATAAAATCATAAGTACGAATAAAGCAAATAAATGTTTTTTCATTTGTCTCTATTGCGAAAATTGATCGATAACATTGGCTTTAAGCTGAATGTTTGTTTATATATATTGTGATGAATAACTACAGAACATGGCTGCAAAATGAGACATACAGGCCCTGGAACATGAACACATTTCCAGCCCGCCTCTCACACCCTCTCACCTCCCGTTTACCCAGTGATCAAGCGTGATTCAATTAAGCCAGAATGTTCAATAAAGCCCATCTGTCGCATATTCTACCTACACTCTTAAAAATAAAGGTGCTTCACGATGCCATAGAAGAACCTTTTTGTCTAAATGGTTCCATAAAGAACCTTTAACATCTGAAGAACCTTTCTGTTTCACAAAACTTTCTGTTTCTTTGTGGTGAAAGAAGGTTCTTCAGATTATAAAAAGGTAAGAAAGAGATGGTTCTTTATGGAACCAAAAATGGTTCTTCTATGGCATCGCTTGAAGAACCTTTTGAAGCACCTTTATTTTTAAGAGTGTAGTTTCATACACATGCTACATACTATAGTTCATTTTAACATTTTGGACAGATAAATTGTGTTATGTGTGTAATGTGAGAGTGCATTTTAGAACTCCTTGCCTCCTCACCACACCCCTCATCTTCGCGGCCCCCCATTGGCTGACCTAGTGAGGTTGCCATAGCGACGTTTTTTTTCAGTGGAGCGTGGATAATTAGCCAAACATCTCCTAACAGAGAACATCTTTTCACCGGGGGTGTTTATATACACCGATAGGGAACAAGCATTCAGTTGTCACGATCTGTTTTAAAGTATCAGGAGAGTTTATGACAATCCATCCTGCTCATAATGGAGCATTTGTTCTGTATTATAGAAGGAATATGAGCTGAAGGGTATTTATTATCAGGAAACATAGTTCAAAACTCCTGATGTTGCATTTCCATTATGCCTTTGCTTTCAGACATTTTTCAGAGTTTCATGTTTCAAAACAAATCTCTTAAAAGAGATTATAGTGTTAAACTCATGTTTGGATGCACATAAACTAAAACCATATGCAGATCATATTAAATAGCTTTTTAATCCTATTTGTTGTGACATCACCCGCTGCATTAAACAATTGTGTTTGTCTGCACGTGTAATTGTGAATATGGCTAAGTCCACTGTCATTTTGTGCCATCTGCTCGAGTGGAGGATCACCTCTGGTACAGTCTTGCTTGGCTATATTAGCATGCCAGCCTTTATTCCATTAGATTTAGACAATGCTGTGTAACTAGAGCTCAAAATAAGAACCTCATGCAGGATTTATCTTTTGCACGTCTCCCTGCAATGTTCAATTGCATCCATTTTTTTCCACCCTAGATCAGACTGCAGGCTACGTTTGACATTTTCGCTCCGATGATTCACTTCAAATTTTGTAATTGAGGCTGTGATCATCATCATTATTCATTTTCACAATCAGACCGTTTGGCAGTGTTTGGTGCAGCACATGCAACAGACGAGTTAGTGCGTAAGGCTTTCATCTTCTTCAGACCCCAGGGGGGTGGCAGATCAATAAGCAAGGGACGGTTTCCATTAACAGTGGGCTGCTCTTTGGCTAATCACTCTGTGAAGTGGTGAAGTCCTCGTGTTTTTCCAGTTAAACTGTCCCACTGCCATTGGCTCTGATTTGGACAACAGAGCCTTGTTTGTGCTGTCTCTGTGAGGAGTTTGGTCTATAAATATCCATCCTTTGTTTTTCTTTGCTTTTTTGAGAAGACGAGATCACTTGCACACTGCTTTTAGCATTTCTTGCTATGTCACCACCATCAAAAAACACAGCTGTGATGGAACCGAAAAGGCTTTCTTTTTTCTGCCCTCCCCTTGCTTGTTCTCAATCTCCATTTGTACCACAATCCCTCTCTGTCTCATTCTCATTCTCTCTCTGTGCACCACTGTTCCCCCATTTTAGCCTTCATTCATTCACTGTATATTTTATAAAGGTTGACGATGATCCAGATTCTCCTGCATTTAAATATCTGTGTCCTCGTTTCTATTAGAGACAACATAACCCATTGGAAATATTTAATTTGCATGCAGAAGCTGCATGGTTGCGTGGCAGGAATTCTATAGCATCTTAGCCTACAGCTCACTGACAAGGCAATACTGACATTCATGAGGTTTGCTATTCAGGTTAGTGGGTTTTTCAGCCCAACAGCATGGCACTGCAGAGAAACCTGGGGGTGGGGGCTGGCAGTGGTGGGAGGCTCGGACTTTATTGTGGAAAGCTCTGTAGGGTTCCACTTCTCGAACCAAAGAGTAACACAGTTACATAATGTCACTACAGAGGACAATGTACGGCACAGCCAATCTCTTACAACCTGTCCTATGCAATCCATTCCCATACCATTAAGCACCCTGCATGACGTTTAAACTGTTCTAGATATAATCACATTTTATTGATTAAATAGGAATTATTGTGACATTAAGATAATCACACCCACTCATTCATACACACACACTCATACACACAAAAATAGTCCTCTGTTAAACATGTGCATGTGATAGCAACTTCAAAAAAAAAAAATAACACCACTGTCATCCATGAAAGTCTTAGCTTACCTATAACACCAACTGCCTGTGAAACATCACCTCTACTGTCTTTAGCCTTCTTTAACGCAGTCTCAGACAATGTTCAGTGCAGGCAGAAAAAAAAATCCATATGCCTCATGGTTCCTTGATGACGTTACATACACATTTGTTACAGCTGACAGGCACTGTGTGACTTTAACACAGTGTTTTAAAAAAACTGTGAGAAAAGGACATCGGTGGGGAGAGGAAAAGGAGCGAGATGGCTCATCTTGTTGAAAAAGTAGGGCATGCGTTCTGCTACATACATTCAAAAGTCACTGTGGAATATCCTGTCTTGGCATGAACTGTACAGGTAAGAGATTCTGTTTGTTTGCATACAACACAAGGGCGTGAAGACTAACATTGATCCACAGTTCACTTGGAAAAAAAACTTTTTGGAAAAGACACCAGACAAAAATTTCTAAAAACGAAGGCCAAGTAACAAAGGCTACAAAGACTGCTCTGTAACAAAACTTTTTTTTTCTTTGTGGCAGGCAGGATGATAAGAAAAAAGCACCTTTGTAATGTTACTGGGCTCCTCTGGTGTTGTAGACCTGGATGAAAACCATAAGACTCCGTGTTGGATTGCTTGTTTCTTCTCTGAGACTTTTAATTACCACAAAAGACCATTATGGACTATTACAATGCCGGAGATAATGGACGGACACATTGCTTGTTTCTTCAGAGAAGGTCTACATGGCTTTGGATTCCAGGTGAGGGCTCTTGTGCTTTAGTGCCTGCCATTTAATTTGCATGTTTGGTTGCCATGGAGATAACTTAGACAGGGCCTGTGGGTGTGCTGTCTGTTCCTGGTTGCACACAGAGTTGAATCCACAGCATCAGTCTGTTCAAGAGTGATATGAATAAAACCACCCAGCTGATAAAAGAATTGTGTGGTTGACACCAGTGTGTAAATTAGTTCAAATAACGATAATAATCCAGTTGTTCCTGTAAAGATTTTTGCTGCAAAAGGCGCAGTGATGCCTGATCGAATATCAAAAAGTAAATCTTGAGAAAACTGTTGCCAGTGGAATGTTTCAGGATTTTGTCATAGACAGAATTATTATATCAGTTATTTTCGGGTGGCGGCAGCTGTAGCTGTTGGTGCAGGCTTATTGCTGGTCCGGCGAACAGGCATTTTGGACACCGGTATCTTAGAACGTGTGGCTTCTGCCCTACCCTGTACAGAATGGTAGGCTGCAGTAGATCCGTGTTTGATTGGGATCTTGGATTCCCGGGTTAAGCTTGTGGCACCAGCTGCAGGACCTGATGATGTCTGGAGACCAAGTTTTCCATCAAGAATGTCGTCTTGGCTGTGGGAGAGGGTTGGGGTGACAGCCCCCGATTCTGTGGAGACATCACTGAGGGCCTCCTTGCTGCTGCTTTCCCGTGAGAGAGTGAATGGGGTCTCCTCTTCATGTACCGGTGTTGGTAGATTTGAGTGGTCCTCATCTCCATTGGGCTGGGAATCTCGATGAGGCAGCTTAGGAGGTCTACCTCCACCGCTAACAGGGATCTTACTCAGAGTTGTAGGCTTCGCTGCAGGGCCCCTTTTCACTGCCTTGCTGATGCTTTGAGTAGCCACTGAGTCTCTATTGTCAATTCCTTCTTGTCTTACCAGGTCCTCCCTTAAATCTATCCTGGCGTCATCATCCACTCTTTTTGAAGAAATGAATGATGGAGCAATACCAGGAGGAGACTTCAGGACAGGAACTTGTGGTGCAGAGGTAACTGTGGGTGATTTTGTGGTGGCAGAGGAAGAGGTAAGAATAGGAGTAACAGCAGATGGAGATTTAGCAATGGGAACAGTTGGTTCAGAGATGGAGGCTTTCCTTACAGATGTTGTGCCAGTTTGGGTGCTAGATTTTGAAGTTTGTCCTGTGGGTTGTTTTATCTCAAGCTTGGCAATAGGAGCAGTGTTTCGGCTTGTCGACAATCCAAATGTTGTTACAAATTTTGGTCTTGGTGTTGGTGCAGGGGCAGGGGTAGGTTTACCAAAAAGTGGTGGATATGGGGTGTATTTGGTTGCAGAGGTAGACATAGTATGTTTGGATTCATGGGTAATGCTGGGAGTGGGTTTTGTTGCAGGGATTGGGGCTTGGGTAGGTTTAGTTACAGGGGTTGGGGCAGGTTCCGTTTTAGTAACAGCAGCAAGTTCAGGTGTAGAACTAATTGTGGGTGAGGGGGGTGTTTCGGAAGTAGGGGCTGAGATGGACGGAGGAATGGGGGTAGAGGATGGAATAGGTTTGATCATTGGGGCAGTTGTGGAGCTAGATATTGTGTCTGG